GGAACGTACTGCCTCCATCTTCAGGGTTTAACTGCAACCCAAGGAACCAACCAACAAGCTTACCCCATCCTTATTGCTGAGTTTGCAATTGGCTTAAGCGAACTATACCGACCGAGCGACTGCCGCTTGTCGTCGAAGTTAGTGCCAACATTAGCGGTTAGATTGTGTCGCGTGGTCAGCGCAACGAATCTCCACGTCCGTTAATTTCGGTTTGCTAGACCGGATCTATCGAGCTACACGATGTTATAACCCAACCACCACCGTTATAGCCTTGAATCGTTCATATAGACCTGTTTTACTCTTGTACTTGCATAGGGATTGTTCCTAAGTTTTCATACATCTCTCTAAGAAATTGAATTACCTGTACCATGTACGCATGTATATACCTTGTACGACTATTACTACAGTTCTTAGAACTGTGATCCTTGGAATCATGAAGATGGGAGGCAGAAATTTCCAGCGATATATGGGTTTATAACTCCCTGATAACTACCAAGAAGACAATAATCTTATTAAACACACTAGTGGAAAATCGGAAACAGAAAATATTTCTCGTTAAATTCGAACTTAAAATATTATAAATTTGTTCATTTTAAATTGAACATCCTGTATATGGAACCACTTATGTGACCGCAGGCTGTAAAACGCGGTCAGTTTCCACATCCCTCGCACAACATGCAAACATATTACATTGATTTCCTGTTGCCGACTGCAGGTGTAGAACCAATTCTCCGAAAGATGAGACGGTTTGCTCACAGAAACGGGAAGGAAACTTACTGCACTTTCTTTGGTTGGACTTAAGTTTATGACGATTACAGTCTTCTGCCATGTGACGCCGTGTAATTTGGTACATATTGAAGAATGTCGGCTTCTGGGATGTGGCGTTGTGCAGATATTTTGTTAACCAACGTTTCCAAGGAACGCATTGCCTCAATCTTCAGGGTATAAGAAATCCGTGAATAACGAACCAGCGTGAGGTGTCTTATAGCTTGAAGATGGAGGCGATACGTTCCTCCGAAACGTCGGTTAATAAATTATCTACATGACGCCAAATCCCAGAAGACGGCATTCTTCATAGTCACCGCCGTGAAAACCTCAAATCATACATTGGTACATATTTAGCAGTCTTTCGAAGGAACCTCCTGTCTCCATGTTTGTGGTGGAGTAATTATACCCTGAAGACTGAAGAGACACATTCCTTCGAAACATCTATAAATATATATCATATATTTTTCTAACCTGAATAAGGAACAGCATGTCCCTCTGAAACGTCCGTAATATTACATCATTCTTTCTTGAATATAAAGACAGGAAAAGATCGTTCGCAACACTGGTAAATACATATGAGATTACAATATTTTAACCTGAAAATTGAAGCAGCAGCTTCCTCCGAAACGTTCTTAATATTACACCATTCCTTCTTGAATACAAAGACAGAAAAAATTGTTTGCAACACTGATAAATATATGTGTGGTTACAATTTTTAACTTGAAGATGGATGCTACAGGTTCCTCCGAAATGTCCTTACTATTACACTATTTTTTTTAAATATAGAGATAAAAAAAGCATTTGCAACACTGGTAAATATCTATGAGATTATGATTTTTATCATGAAGATGGAGGAAGCAGGTTCTTTCGAAATGTCCTTAATATTATACGATTCTTCCTTGAATATAAAGACAGAAAAAGGTCATTTGCAACGCTGGTAAATATAATATGGTATTACAATTTTTAACCTGAAAATGGAGGCAGCAGGTTTCTCCGAAACTTTGGTAAATACAAGATTACAATATTTACTTTTCGAAGTTGAAGACATCAGGATCCTTTGAGACATTGGTAAATACCTATCGAATTACAAGACATCTTATCGCGTCTCTTAAATGGTTTTCGGAAGGAAAGGCAACTGTCTACACGAACGAACAAGAAACAGAAGTAACCGGATACGTTATGTCTAATGGAAGGAGCAGATGTCGAAACTGAAATCTCTGAATGTTGTTCCTCTCGTATTTACAACTGTATCATTGTCTGCCGATGTTGCAGAACGCATTTCGGCGGCTGTAACCTGATGTTAAAGAAGGAAATGCAGTCTAATATGGAACGTCCTGCGACAACAAAAGGTGAACCCCCCTATTCTGGTCTCTCCCAAAACAGATCAAAGAAAACGCACGTCTTTACGTACAAGACAAGATTTACTTTGATTTCAAATCTCGTCTCCACGGCTCTCTGAATTCTTCGTCGTATCTTAGGACTTTGTTCACCAAAGGAAATCAGCGAGCTCAGGCTGGAGTTGGGACGTAATTGGCAAGGACACACAGTATCCTGACTGAGGCATTCCGCGGTTTTTCTTAGCCCCTCCAAGAAATATCCGGATTGTACTTCAATTATGCCAAACCCATTCTAATTTATCATAATATATCAACCTGTGGGGTACGCGGTATGGTAGATGGTTGAGGCACTATGTTACAAACCGGAAGGTCGCAGTTTCGATTCCCGATAAGGTCATTGCGTTTTTCAATTGCCCTAATCCTTTGAGCTGTACTACAGCCCTGGGGTCGACTCAACCTCTAACAGAAATGAGTACCAGGAATCTTCCTGGAGGTGAAGGACGGTCGGCCTGCGCGTAAGACTGACAACCCCACTGCCATCTGTTGCCCGATTGCCTAGAGAAAATGTAGGAGCCTCGACGTCTCACAATCCTATGGGACTCCACGGCCTGTGACAGGGATAATTTTATATTCATCAATCAAGTTGTAATTCGAAGCTATATAGCCTACATTTTAAAGCGCCGGTAAGTGCACAAAAGATTCACAACTCTTCTTAAATCTTCAAACTATCCTCCATCTTCTTCCTGGTCTACCAAGTGAACATTCTCTACAGTCAACGTGTTTTAATTATAGGCTATGACACATTTTAACAGATATTTCCTCCGTTTTTCATTAATCTTAGTGGGGTGAGACTGAGTCCACTTGGTACTGCGGCCTCTATTGGCGTACTGTACTAACCCAAGATGATGGGTGAGGGTGATTGTGGGGCAATTGGTGGAATGAAGACTGGCAGGGGAAACCGAAGTACTCGAAGGAACCCTGCCCCGGCGCCACTTTGTCTACCTTAAATCCCAAATGACCTAACCTGGCCTCGAACCCGGGCTGCAGCAATGGGAAGCCAGCGACTAACTGTCTGAGCTATGGTGCGGCCTTATTTAACAAGCACACTGTGAAAACGTACTGGACACTAGATGGAAGTGGGTGGTCAGCTTCAGGTCCCGGCTGCTTTATCCCCAAGGACAGATGCTTTGGTACCAATTCGACAAGTGGCTCTGTGGGTCTCAGTGCCGGTCTGGACACTACGAAAAGAAGAAATCTTATGCACTTTTCGGGAACTGATCCCCGATTCTTCGGACTTCACGCCCAGTCGCTGTTATGAACAGTGCTAGATTCAGGGATGTGAAGTAGTGTATTCTGGTGGAAGTTCTTGGCGTTTCGGATGAGCATACTGTAACTATGTTCAGGGCCGAAAAGAAACCCAAGGAAGCAATAATTTGATTGGCTCTGTTCCATGAATGCTACAAATGCCTGAGGACATACCGCAGTGGCGCATGCGTGCAACTGGAGCTCGGGTCTCTGCTCTTTTGTTTGCGCCTGGAGTCAGACCAGAAATCTAGTGGGAATTCTATTTCGTTATGTAAGCCAACGAATTATTTTTAAAATGAGAAGGAATTTAATGAAGGCGCATAGTGCTCGTGACAGAGATCAAGCCATTACGAAAGCCGTTTGTCCTACCTTAGTCTCTTATTACAGAAGCAATTTTAATTGTCCAGTCTTAAACGGCCTCTACCCCCCCCCTTCCCGTTACCCTATTACGTCATCGAATGTTCAACTATCGATAAGAGGAGAGACGATTCACATACAGGTAACCTCAGAGCATTCAATGTTAAAGTGTAGTAAGTAAAGTGCAATTAATATCTCAAGATTTGTTGAACTGAGTTTATCACGGAAATCATAATGTTTTCTTCCGGTATGTGGTGCTGTATATTCCGTAGAAGTTTACCGACGTTTCGGAGGAATGTGCAGCTTCCATTTTCAAGGTCAAAGAGTAAGGCAACCAAGCAGTAAAGGAGAAACAAGCAGGGGTTAGAGTAATTGATTCTTTCTTGGCTTAATCTTAACACTTTCAAGATGGAGGTATGAAGTTCCTCGGAAACGTCGTTAACTTCCATGATTTCAAAATTTAAGATCCAAGAAATGACACAACTCAGATGCATTTATATTCTTATTTTAATTTACCCATGTTAACGGTGGAACAAATAGGCCAACATTTCTTCCTTACGAATGTGAAATATATTTTGCAAGAATAGTTTCTTTGCCGTGCGGTTTGTTAGGTGTTCTTACTAACTTTTCTCCCAAATAATCTTCCTAAACTGTAGCTTGTATTTCCCCTGGATTTATAGATTTAATTAAAAAAGGATGATAGAAAAGGAAGACAGACTCTGAAATGTTGGTACGTGTCTACCAATCTGCACGGTGTTACGTTCCAGGAGACCACAGACTTAACGATTTGAGAAGCTCAAATCTCACACGGTGCTTCTCGTTTCTTGAAAACGCTCATTCGTTTGAAATAAAACCGTTCGTAAGGACATAAATAATCGCTTCATTCATTCTTTGCTCTCAATTCATCACCACAAATTTTTCTCCGAGATCCACTGAAATTCGGAAACATTTTATAGGCGGATACAGACGTTTCTGAGAAGTATGTTGCCTCCTTGGACAAATAAAAACATTTTGGACGAATACGCTGCCTTCAGCCATGAGGATGGGAGCAGTGTGTCCTTCCTACAGATCTGTATCTGCCAACAAATCTACAGGATGTCATAACCCAGGAGACTACGATATTAGAAATAATACGAAAAATTTCCAGTGTTAAAGCAGATGGTAAGTATAGTAACCACTGTGCTTTAAAGGGTTAATATATAAAGCTGTTAGAGGGCGATTCCATGGACTTACCAGGATTTGCTCCACGCTAGGCATCAGTTTTGCCTGAACCCTGTGCGCAACCTCCACTGAGCTCTCAAGATGTCCTTCATGGACCTATGTGGATAATAAGATCACTGGTTACCATCATTGATCAAGAAAGCTTTTAAAATATTAAAAGTTTCTATGAAATGGATTTTATTATTTGCTATAAGATCAGTGATTTAATGTATAAACATACAGCGCACAAATATACACGCGACTGGAGGAAATGTTTGGGGCGTCCACACCGAACAAGTCGCAGACATGTGCCTACAGGCTTCGCCACTGTCTCTTGTGACCCGATGCAGAGATTTTCTTGAAATTTTACAGCTTACATTCAACGGCAGTTTGTTGACACATTCCAGAAAAATATACAGAAGTATAATTTTGCTGTGGTTATGTATGGTTGTGAAACTTTGTCTCTGACGTTAAGGGAGGAACATAGACTGAAGGTGTTTGAGAACAGGGTGTTGAGGAGAATATTTGGACTGAACAGTTATATGAAGTCAGAGGAGGCTGGAGAAAACTGCATAATGAGGAGCTTCATAAATTGTACTCTTCTCAAAATATATTTAAAACGATGAAGTCAACGAGGATGAAGTTGGTAGGGAATGTAGCACGAATGGGGAGAAGAGGAATGCATGTAGGTTATTGGTGGGAAATCCAGAAAGAAAGAGACCCCTAGAAATACTTAGACGTAGGTGGGAGGATAATATTGAAATAGATCTTAAAGAGACAGAATGGGGTGGTATGGATTGGATTGATCTTGCTCAGGATGGGGATCAATGGAGGGTTATTTTGAACACGGTAATAAACCTTCTGGTTCCATAAAGTTTTGGGTAATTTTTGAGTAGCTGTGCAAATTGAGGCTTCCCAAGAAGGGCTCAGCTGAATGGAATTAGCTAGTTGCCGATACATTCAAATTTGGTTGAAATCGAGCAATAGTAACACACGGCTTACTTCAGGTTTTACTCTCATCTAGAGCCTAACTAGGCAGATATTCTCCGGCAAGATAGAAGTTTCAAACAAAATCTATCGAGAGAGAGAGAGAGAGAGAGAGAGAGAGGAGGAGTCACGCTTATCATGTCCGCAAGTTCCTACTGAATATGAGGATGGGTGGACATCGGATCCGGTCTGGGCTGTGGAGTAAAGAAAAATTTCTTGTCCTTATGGGGAATTGATGCCAGGCCGTCGAGCCCGTAGTCCGTAGTTATACCGACTGCAGTTCGATATAAAACACTTTTACAAATATCATAGCTGAGACACGTCATACGCTAAGTGGCCAACCGTACGGAAGGAAAGTACCACATGTTAAATGAAATCTCCGGCATGGTGATTTCGGTTCCTGTTCAATGGCGTCACTGACATGTTAGTAATTTTCTTCATATGACGTAATAATTTGTCACTGTCAATGAGTACTTATGAGAAAAAATATTTTAGACACTTCATATCAGTTTTAGTGGAGTGTAGTAAAAATGTATTCAAAACAACAACATTCACTCTGAACACAACTTACGGTCTCAGAACGATTAAAATATTGATACGTGTATGAGTGTGACTATAGACGGGGTTTGGATTGGTAACTGGATTTATTGAACCCTTAACGTAACTATAAGTAACTATAGCCCTATCGATAATTTATACAATCTACAATTCACTACAGAACGTACTCAGTTTGCTGTGACTTCATCAGTAGTTGCCTGGTGACGGATTCCAACACTGCCCTCTGCTTCCCTGCTCACATTCTTACCGGCTGGCAACTCACTCATTGCTCCAGCTGTCGACTCAACTCATTTGACTCAACTCTCACTAATTATCCTACATAATTAGTTCCTCTGTCGCTGTTCATTTGTTGCTTAGCGGACATAAAAGGCAAAGCTATCCCTGTATTAGACCGTGGAGGCGTATAGGGTTGTGAGACGTCGAGGCTGTCACAGTTTCTAGACAATCGGCTCACAGATGGCAGTGAGGTTGTGAGCCTTACGCACCGGCCGCACTTTAATCCCATATGATATTATGTATAATATTATTAACGAAAAAATTTAAGAAATGTACAGTTTTCTCCATTTTGTATATTTAACTCCGAAATCGTAAGACCTGCCGGCAATTTATACAGGACAATTTCTGCATTCTCTTTACTAATTTGTCCTAAATAGCTTTGTCCAATAAATATATATCGCTGTCGGGGCAGTTCGGAAACCGAGAGGAAGGGGATCATCCGCTGTTTGAAGTCGCTAACAAGCAACGGCTGCTGAATACTGAGAAGATTTTATACATGATGTGGGGACAGTGAACTTTGGAGTGTGTAACTCAGTGAGACTATCGTAGTTATTCGTAGTTACGTTCTGTAAGTCCCCAATTAAACCGATCACGCGACAGTAACATGATAAAAGGCAGAACAACACCCGGCCAGTTTCTGTGAACAAGGAGCACGTCTCTGCACATCTGTCAACTGGAAACAGGGCAATTCGAAGATGCACAGATACGTGTATTTTAACCCTGTGTATTGTTTGTATCGATGTTTGTCGTAACAAAGACTCGTAAAATTTGCGAAAAATTAAAAATTGTCTCGAATTAGCCCTCAGCTGTGCGCAGAATCAAAACATTACAATCCAAATCGAATGAGTTTCTATCTATCTATCTATCTATCTCAAGAACTAGCCGCTCCAGCACTTAGACATAGGGCGAGTAACCCTAAGAATTTTAAATTTTAAATTTAAAATTTAGAGAAAATTTTAAAAGATTTTAAAAACATCATAACTAAAGATTTTTAGAGTGCTACTATAAGAATAT